AGTTCGGGGGCAGCAAGGAATTGCAAAGGGAGAAAAGTGCTCACAATTCACGATGATCTTCTCTAAATCTCATCCCCACTATGTTAGATTCCTCTGTCACTCAAAGGAGGGGAGATTGTTTCCAGCCCTGTTCTCCCTGCTAAACCAGACACCTGTTTAGAGTGCCACACCTTCATTCACGCTCTACCCAGAGACCTGCCGGGTCTCCCTTGCTTCATTCGGCTTTCTGTTCAGATGTCACCTCTTCAGTGAGGCTATCCCTGGCCCTCCTCTCTCAAGCAGAACACACCTTACACCCATCCCCCTTTTCCTTCTTATCCAGCTTATTTTTCTTCATTGCTCTTATTATGACCTGACATTTATTATTTATACTTTTTTTCTTACACACTGGACTGTAAGCTCTGTGAAAGCACAGACGTTGGCTGCTTTGCTCAGTGTCATATTTCCAGTGACCAGAACAGTGCCCTGCATGTAGGGGACACTCCATAAGCATTAGTTAAAGGAAACAAGTGGGAAGGAAGGGAGGGAGGGGACAAGCCAGGCTGGCTACCACCCTGACTCCCTGGCATCCCAAACCTCCAAAGGCACTAGGTCAAGAGTACCCACAGAGTCTTCAAAAGTGCTTCCTGACACTTGTCCTCTGCTTTCTTTCAGTAACTAAAGCCTGTGTCCTTCCTCTCCCTTTTGCCTACCCCTGCTGCTGCCTCAGCACAGTGCTCAGAACAGCTGCCCCGCCTTCCCCCAAATGGCTTCCTCAGAACGGTAGGCCCTACAGGGACAGCCCGGTGCTCCACCCAAAGCCTTTCTCTCCTGCCTCCCCAGAATAACGCAGAGAGACAAGGATGCGTGGGGCCAGGAACCAGGGTCAACAGGACAAGCAGCACTTTGCTCTCTATAGGCGGGGCTGCTCCGTCTTGAAGTCTGTACACTGGTCCAAAGCTGGAGGAAGCAAAGCCACAGCACTCAAGCACGCTGGGACCAGGGGCCAGCTCCTCCCTGGGCCTCCTTTGCACACCGTGCTTCCTTCCAGCTTCCCTTCTCTCTTCCCTGGGCTTCGTACATGTGGCTTCATCTCCATAGAATGTCCTTCCCAACACCATTCGCCCGGCCAACTTTTCCTCCCTTTCAGAACTCACCCCAACTACCCAACTTTCCTGATACCCACCTCCTCCTTGGTCTGGACTGGTCCTCCCCCCTCCCATGAGCCTGGGTTCTGCTATATCGGTATGTATTGCTCCGCACTAACTGTCATCTGCCCCCCCATACTTGCAAGTGAGCCTAGTAGAAACAAAAGCTGTGTCTTGTTCCTTTTGTACCTCCTGTCCCTAACCCAGAATCTGACACACACAGACACGGTACAATGAATGTTTGCTCACTCATTTATTCATTCCACAAATATTAGACCAGGCACTGTGCTTGGAGCTAAAGGAATTAGAGCAAAAAAGGCGGATGGGATGGATCTCAAAGAGTCTGTATCCTAATGGGGGTGAGACAGAAAATAACCAAGTTAGATACACAATTGTATATTGTTTTATTAAGATGACTGCAGATTACTGATATTATTATAGATCATTATTAAATAATTATAGATTATTATTACTTAGTAGTAGATAAATAATTGTAGATTAATTTTGCGGAGCGCTTACTCTGTGCCGGAGTGTAGGTGTAGACACACACGCATACATAAAGTACAAGTGCTTAGACACCAGCTTGTCAGCTTGCACTGGACAAACAAGACAAGCTGTGACTGATTCTCAATCTCGCCCAAGGCACCCAAGGCACAGTGCACTGGGTGCTCGGTGGAAGAAAATAGGCAGGGTGCTTTGATCAGCGCCAGGAGAAGGGTCTCACGGCAGGGAGAGTGACCAGAGGCGGCACTGGAGAATGAATGGACCAATGAAATCACGAGCACCATGACGCTGGTCCCGAACGCACGCAGCCTTGTCACTAGAAACCTCTCCATCTTGACAGAGTTTCTGTCGCGCAGAATCCTGCTGGCAGTGGCGATGTGAGCCTGGCTTTATAGGCGGGTGACGGTGCGGCCTGATTGGCCCAAAGGTCCCCTTTCCAGTTGCTTATCTTTGTTTGGGTCAGGACAGGGGGAGGATGGAGACTCTGGAACCCAGCCAGAACAAAATGCAATCATTCCTGAGAGCTCACTGGGTTGGAGCCCTGAGGCAGGCCTTGGGGACACCATTAGGAGACCAGTGGAGCTGTGCCCGGGCCCTCTCCCCGGGGGAGGCACAGGCGAGACACCTGCCCAGGAGGCAACCGGAGAGGCGCCATGGCAGGGCGCTCGCCTGCCGGAAGTGCCCAGGACAGCAGGGACAGGCAGGGACGGCTCCTGGGGTTTATTTTGAGCTGCGCCTTGACTGGGAGATGAAGAGAAGGGGAAGTGAACTAGAATGTTTGGGGAAGAAAAGAAAGTGTGAAGAAAGGTCCACTAGGGGCGAGGCGGGGGAGGATGGCGGAAGGGGGAAGGGTGGGCCGGCCACAGTGCGCTGCGGCCAGCCCTGGCAAGCCCACCCTGGAATGTGCAGGGCTCACCCTCTGATTCTAGAAGGCAGCTCGCAAAGCACCAGGAGACTCAGCTCCAAACGCAGAGACAGCATCTGTAAGAAATACCTAGTGAAGGCCGGGCGCGGTGGCTCACGCCTGTAATCCTGGCACTCTGGGAGGCCAAGGCGGGTGGATTGCTCAAGCTCAGGAGTTCGAAACCAGCCTGAGCAAGAGTGAGACCCCGTCTCTACCAAAAACAGAAAGAAATTAATTGACCAGCTAAAAAAATATATACAAAAAATTAGCTGAGCATGGTGGCGCATGCCTTTAGGCTGAGGCAGGAGGATTGCTTAAGCCCAGGTGATTGAGGTTGCTGTGAGCTAGGCTGACACCACGGCACTCACTCTAGCCTGGGCAACAAAGTGAGACTCTGTCTCAGAAAAAAAAAGAAAGAAATACTTAGTGAAATTCCCTGCCCTGGAGGGTGGGGGCAGGGGCAACAGGGCAGCCCCTACTCCCAGGCCATCCTGGCCTTAAGGAATACAACCTTCTGGGTGGGGGGAGGGGAGAATACCTGGGAATTCAAAGAAAGGAAGTCAGGAAGTGGAGCAGACTTTGGCCTCTTTCAGACCAGCAAGACTCATGGGAAGGTCAGGCCTTAGGTGCTGCTGTCCCAGCCCACGACCAACGCAGACAGCCCTGCTGAAAGGCAAGGACCCTTCTGCGCCTCCTCCCAGGGCCCCTAGGGTTTATGGAATGTGCCACACCTCCCTGTAACAGGTGCGGGGCACAGCCAAATGGGGCCTTTACGAGCGATGGCACTTCCTGGGCCTCTTAGGAACCCAGCCCACACCTAACGGGGATGACATCTGTGCTTCCCAGGGGAGGGAGAAATTGCCTCCAGTTGTCTTTCCAGGTGTTCTGACACAAAGATCTCCTTGAGAGATGTCCCAGAAAGCCAAAACTAGCACCTGCCCTGAATGGGGAACGATAAATACAGGCAAGACAGCAGATGTCAGGCTGTTTCCTAATAATAAGAAATAATAGCCAACATGTACCAAGTGTTTCCACCAGAGTATACATGTACACACACACACACACACACACACACAACATGAGTACTAGTGCTTATATACCAGCTTGCTGGATTATACTGGACAAACAAGACAAGCTTTGACTGATTCTTGGTCTTGACCAAGGCACTGTGCATTGGACTCCCAGCTGGAATCCTGACTTCTGCACCCCCGTGCGTGAGGGATGTCAGGGGAAGCCTGCATTCCCGCAGGATTAAGGCTCCTCATCTCTAGGATGTGTGGACTGCTTCCTTAACAAATCTCGAGTCTGATACATGGAGGACACAAACCCCTCCTTAAAGTAAGCTCTGGGGAAAATGTCTATGCAACGTGCACACCTGACTCTCGGTTGCTCATTAGCTCACCCACACCCAGGTCATGGGGAAGGCAAGGGACAGGTGTTCATGGGGCTCCTTGGTCCTCATGAAATTTCCTATGTCATAATTGTGTACCCGTCCCCTCCCCTCCACTCCACCCATTCCCTGACCTATCCACATCCTCCCAGCCCAGCTCTGGAGCTCTAAGCTCCCCAGATGCGCTCTGAACTGCATTCTCTGACCAGAACTCTGCTCCCTGAGCACTGGCACTCAACTCCCCACCCTGGGCGCCCCTCCATGTTCCGGCACCACTTTGGAATGGACCATGTGGGACACGGAGTAGAGCCGCCCAGAGCAAGGGAGAGAGGAAATAAAAAGCAGAGAAAGAAGAAAGAAAAGACAAAAATGAGAGCACAAAAGAGCAGCAAAGAAAGGGGACGAGAAGAGGAAGAGGAAAAATGCTTGGGCAGCAGAGACGCAAGAGAAAGCTGCAGGGGAGAGAGCTGGGAGACCGAGCAGGACAGCAGGCCCAGGGACTGGGGGAAGAGGCCTGCAAGAGACAACTGCAGAAATCTGTACTTGTTCTGGGCCATGGTCCCCAAACTCTAGTGTGAATGGAAATCACGTAGAAAGCTTGTGCAAATCAGATCCGGGCTTCCAGTTCCTTAGATCTGGGTGGGGTTGACCAGAAGTCCCAAAGGCCAATAGTCTCTTTTGCATCTTTACATCCCATATGTGGCATTCAGCAAATGTTTATTAAATGAATAGATAATTCCCTAGTTTCCCCCAAAGAGCTTGGATTTTCCTTCCTATAATTAGAAATTCCTTTGATAGTTATATAAATATTTTATCTCCCATAACTATACAATTATTTCAATGAATCATTATACCTATGTCACCCTGTAACTTAAAAAACCCAAGTGTAGTGGCTCATGCCTGTAATTCCAGCATGTTGGGAGACTGAGGTGGCACTCAAGGCCAGGAGTTCAAGACCAGCCTGGGCAACATAGTGAGATATTGTCTCTGCAAAAAACTTAAAAATTAGCCAGGCATGGTGGTACATGCCTGTAGTCCCAGCAATTTGGGAGGCTGAGGCAGGAGGATCGTTTGATCTCTGGAGTTCCAGTCTGGGCAATAGATGTAGACCTTGTCTCTATATTTAAAAAAAACCACCATTGCTGGTGAATGCTGGGATACTTGAAGGGTAACTTGTGCCAGCAGATCAACCCTAAGAACCATAAGTCCTTGGCCTGATTTCCAAAGTCACCTATAATGTCCACCTACCCTGCCTGCCCAACCCTGTCTCCCACGAGTTCCCAGCACGTTAGGTCTGCGCTGCACAGGGCCACTTCTGCACTGACGCTTCATGTGTCACCCTCTGCTCGGCCTCTTTGCTCACACTGATCACCTACTGTATCCAGGGTGCTTCTTTACCTTCCTGATACCCCTTTAAATCCCACTCAGCATAAAAGGAACAGTATGCATCCCGTCATTTCCATAAACTCCACCCTCGCCGCTGTAATCCACACTGAGCTCTGCCTCCTCCAAGTTCTTACAGCAGATACACCAACCGTATTGTACAATTTTCTGTATCATATGGTACAGCACTTAAATTATACCTAATTTCATATATTGGTTTTCCTACCAGTCTTTCTTTCTACAAATGGATTATAAAGTTTGAAGAAAACATCTGGCTATCGTATACGCCCTGTGCCTGCCTCACCCAGAGCCCCTTTCAAAGGGAGTTCAGGCTGGCCGCAGCTCAAAGCGAGCAGTTTCACCGGGATCTTGTGTTTGTGCACTGGGCCGCCATAACCAAACACCACAGACCCAGCAGCTCCAACAACAAAAATTTATTTCTCACAGTTCTGGAGAGTTCAAGATCAAGGCTGGAAGTTCAGGATCAAGGAAGTTCAAGATCAAGGTGTCAGCAGGGTTGGTTCCTTCTACGGCCATCTCCTTCTCTTACAGATGCCCACCCCCTTGCCGTGTTCTCACACTCTCTCCTCTGTGTGCCCCTGGTCTCTTTCTGCATCCAAACCTTCTCTTCTTATGAGGACACCAGACAGAATGGATGAGGGCCCACCCTAACAACCTCACCTTAATCTTGTCCACCTCTTTAAAGACCATGTCCCCGGTACAGTGACATTCTAAATAAAATACCAGGGGTTAGGATGTCAACATTTGGATTTTAAGGGGATACGATTCAGCCCAAGATAGTTCCAATCAGCTCTATCCCAGCTTAGAGGAGGGCAGATGCCCGACCCCAAGGCACAGAATCCACAGGTTAGCTGGTAGGCCGAGTGGCTTAATATAAAAATTCTTTCCAGTAAGGGACAGTGGCATATGCCTAGAAAAATCACATTCTTTCTTGAGAACTCGGAGTGGGAAATATAAAGAAAAGCAGCCTGTTGGCCGCAGGAGGGAAAGCTGATATATTAATGCTATGTAGTCTCCATCTCGTCCTCTCATTAGTACCGTGGTGCCCTGGTGCTTATTAGCACAGTGTTCAGTGTATACTCATTGAATCTGGCTTTGGAATGGACTGATTCCACCAGCCGTGTTCACTTTTCAGAAACTTTAGTTTCTTCAGGCAACATCCGGTACCCTGAACACCTGTCCCTCCCGGACGCCTAGCTCCTTGCTTCTAGTTTACTAAAAACGAAAGATCTCTCACATCTACCTTCAAAACTGGCTTCTATCTGGAGGCCACGGGAATTACAAGAGTAACTGCAGGAACAACATCTGTACGTTTTCAGTGAGATGCAAACTCTATTCAGTGTTCCAGTGTCTAATGCTGTAATGCAAACTACCCCGCACTTAACAACAAAAATAAAACAAGACAAAAAAGGTTTTTTACAACTATACCCACATATTCAGAGAGAGAGAGCTTATCTCTGTGCTGTAATTTGGGCTCTCAGCTGGGAAGACTTGAAGCCTGAGGGGGTTCCTTGACAATAGCAGATTGGAATTTCCTGGGATCTCACACGCTCCTGTGTCTGGGATCGACTGGGGCTGGCAGAGGGAGCACGCACACGGCTCTCCACATGGCAGCTGGGGCTTCAGGGCAAAGGCCTGGGTTTTAAGACAGGACAGGGTCACCATTTATGACCAGATGGAACACTGTATCACCATTTATGATGTAGCCTCACTTCTATTATGGTCACACGTCTGCCCGATTTCAAGGAAAAGGAACATGGACCTTGCCCCTCAGTGGGAAAGGCAGCAAGATCACGCTATAAAAAGGCAGGAATTATTGTTGTGGCCGTCGCCACAGTCTACTCTCTGGCCACAATACTCCCCATCCCTCTCACCTGCAAATATACGCACGCCCTCGTCCAAGACCACCAAGTCCTGTCTCATTATGACGTCAATTCAAGTTATGTAAATGAGACCCAAGAGTATATGAGTGTCTCAGCTATAGCAATTTGAGCACCATTCCTCCAATCTAAACACCAGTAAGCTGCACCCAATTATACAATGGCCGGACATAACCACTGTGGACACTCCTGTTCAGAAAGGGAGGAATGAGGCGCACAGAAACCACGGGCCCACACGCGATTCTGAAATCCTTCAGGGCACATGTTGCCTGTTTTGATGAAGGCTCAGGCCTGCTGCCCGTTCTCTGGCTCTTGGCTCTGCCCTCGGGGTTCTGGGTTCTGCCCTCTGAGTCATCCTTCCTCTGCAATAAGGACGGCCCCAGTTTGCAGCTGAGTAGCTCTGTGTCTGTCATAGCTAAGCGGTCCAAAGTTCTTCTGTTTGTACTATTTCTGTCCCTTTCTGGGCATGCTGATTCAATTCTTTTTAAAATTTTGTGAACTTTGGGGCTATTAATTTATAATTTATTCCATTAGACAAAAAGCCACAGCCAAAAATCTCCTTGAGATAGGCCTTTCTCTACCTTGGGCTCCCTGCGAGGCTGTTATGGGCCAGTCAGTACCTTCAAGCTTCTCATAAGCCATATTGTTAAACAGAGAGGGAAGCAAGCTTCTAATGGCCTCTCTAAGAAGAGTGAATCTTGGAAGAGCAGTGAGGTGGGGAAGCTAAGGCTGGCATGTCCACTAAAAGTCAAAAGCTACAAAAAGGAGGCCAGGCGCGATGGCTCACGCCTGTAATCCTAGCACTCTGGGAGGTCAAGGCGGGCGGATCGTTTGAGCTCAGGAGTTCGAAACCAGCCTGAGCAAGACCCCGTCTCTACTAAAAATAGAAATAAATTAATTGAACAACTAAAAATATATAGAAAAAATTAGCCGGGCATGGTGGCACATGCCTGTAGTCCCAGCTACTCGGGAGGCTGAGGCAGAAGGATTGCCTGAGCCCAGGAGTTTGAGGTTGCTGTGAGCTAGGCTGACACCACGACACTCTAGTTTGGGCAACAGAGCAAGACTCTATCTCAAAAAAAAAAAAAAAAAAAAAGCTACAAGGAGGGCAGTGTGGTAGCTCCACTAGCAGAAGTCAAAGTTAAGCCTTCACTTAATTGGGTGAAGCCCTCAGGACTTGCATATCATGAAGCTCAAGTAACCAACTGATGCAGATGACCAAGCACACAAGTCAAACCACTAGTGACAATAGATTCAGACACCCAAGAATTGCAAATGTTGGAATTGTCAAAAAAGATAGAATTGTTATGAATGAAATATTTAATGAACTATTGGCTACAATAGCAAAGATGAACATACAAGAAATCACTAGCGATGAGCAATCTTAAAATATCACTCCACAAATTATTAACTAAAAACAGGAAGGGAAAAAAGGTATCTCTAAATAGAGAAATCTGGGGCACCCCGACTTCATTGCATGAGCAAAGTCGACAACGTCAGCTTTGGGACCCTGTGGCCTCTGGTGACTCCTGCAATTCTGTACCAAGGAAAACATAAGACCACATACACAGTGCTCCTGCCAAAGGGGCTTAATCTGGATCTGAGCGTGAGGAAACAACTAGATGAATACAAATTGAGGGGCATTTTACAAAACAATTTAGCTTGAACTCTTTGCAGATCTCAAGATGATAAGGAAATTTTTAAAAAGAAGAGTTTGGGAACTGTTCTAGATTAAAGGAAACTAAATAAATAGGACAGCTAATGGAATGAGTGATTCTTGATTCTATCTCCTGGACTGAAAAAAAAAATAAGAAAAACATTTTTTAAAAACCATTAATGAGACAATTGGAGATATTTGGATTTTGTCTATATATTAGATATTATGCTTTCAATGTTAGATCTTCTGAATATGATCCTTCCATTGTTCTTATGTTGGAGGATGTCCTTGTGCTTAGAAGATATGTGTTAAGATATTTAAGAGAACAGTAATGGAATGTGAAATAAACTCTTAAATAACTCACCAAAAAAAAATATTTGTGTAAACATGCAAATGTGTAAACAGAAAGAGAAAAAGAAAATGTAGCAAAATATTAACAATCGGTAAGTCTAGATAAAGGGTAAGATGTTTGTTTTGCTATTCTTGCAACTTTTCTATAGTTTTGAATTTTTTAAAAAAATAAGTTTGGGAAAATATTAACACTATAAATAAAAAGCAAGTATCCCAAGAATGGAAAAACAAGCACCACATATACTCACCAGCAAACTGGTATTAACTGAGAAGCACCTAAGTAGACACATAGGTACTACAATAATAGGGTATTGGGCAGGGGGGAGGGGGCAGGGGGGCAGGTATATACATATATAATGAGTGAGATGTGCACCATCTGAGGGATGGTCATGCTGGAGACTCAGACTTGTGGGAGGAGGGGGGGAAAGGGCAATTATTGAAACTTTAAAATTTGTACCCCCATAATATGCCGGAAAAAATAAAACTAAAAAAAAAAAAAAAAGAAAAAGCAGAGTGTACCCTGTTAATTATTAGTATTAATATCAGCACTTCCATATACATATTAGGCCATTCCCTTCTTCAGGCCAAAGCAAAGCTTACACACTTTAGACAAGGCACAGCGAAGATAAGGTAATTTTGTAAAGGTCACAAAGAAAAGTTTTAAATAAAGTGTTGAATAAGCAGAAACCAAAAAAACCATAGCTTCAGACACCCATCACCACATTTCAAGAACTTTCTCACCCACATAAAATATCTCCTTCCCCTTGGCTGAATAGGAAAATTCAAATAAAGGATTCTGTTCCCTTTTATGTCATTAACCAATCTTTTGTATAGATTAAAAACATGAGTTTGGAAAAAGAACATTCAAAAAATTAAAATGAAATTGGGCATATTTAGGGTGGTGAGATTCAAGCTGATGTCCTCTAGCATTTCTCTTTTGTTCCTTTGATGTTGTTTTAAAACTGGCCAGAGAGAGTACGAGAAAAGAAATCAGCACTGCTACGAATGGCTGCCATCAACCACCAATTTCGGGAGTCCCCAAAGCTGGATATTTCACAAATGTCAGTGTCTCTCAGCTACTCGCTTATTTTCCTTTCCTTCATTTATTATCTGCATGTCACCATCCTCTGCAAATCCCAGCAATGTAGCACCTCTGGGCCACCAGTCAGTCACACTGTGACTTAAAAGCACGGGGTTGTGGGAGTAGACTGGGGAGGCGGCCTCAGCCAGACCACTCTGGAGCCGATTGTGCTTAGGGCTCTGTAGTTCCGTAGGCTTAAAAAAAAAACTTCTCAGGCCGGGCGCGGTGGCTCACGCCTGTAATCCTAGCACTTTGGGAGGCCGAGGCGGGCGGATTGCTCAAGGTCAGGAGTTCGAAACCAGCCTGAGCGAGACCCCGTCTCTACCAAAAATAGAAATAAATTAATTGACCAACTAAAAAATATATATACAAAAAATTAGCCGGGCATGGTGGTGCATGCCTGTGGTCCCAGCTACTTGGGAGGCTGAGGCAGTAGGATCGCTGAGCCCCGGAGATTGAGGTTGCTGTGAGCCAGGCTGACGCCACGGCACTCACTCTAGCCTGGGCAACAAAAAAAAAAAAAAAAAAAAAAAAAAAAAAAAAAAAAAAAAAAAAACTTCTCTGTACTTGCACGGCCTTGAGGAGAGACGGGACTGTTGGAGACAGATAAGATTATTTTGTTCTTCACTCTCTCAAGCGAACCAGACACAATCCCCGTTTTGGTGTTCTAGACTCAGGGCTCCCGTCTGAGCTTTTCTTTCCTTGCATCCTTTGGTCAGAGGTGGTTACTGTCCAGAGCTGCTGCCACAGCTCACAGCATATGTATGATTTTGTGTGCAATGCCTTAAAGAGCTCTGTTAGAAAACCTGGTAAGTTTTCTGGTTAGCCTAAAATGGCTCGTTCTGGAAGAGATTCCAACTGTCTTAGGAAACAGAGTCTGGTATGTGCTGGGATTTTGTAACTCCAAGGTCTTGTCAGGATCAAGTTGTAGCCAGCAAAGGGTTGCCTGGGCTATTCTCAGGGCTCCCCACTAAAGCAAACGATATTGCAGGGAGGACAGCAGTGCAGTGGGTGTGAACACAGGACCTAGAAAGCTGAACGGATAGGGAAATCTCTGACTAGTAAGAGATGATGGGGTTCTGTGTGCTAACATAGAGATATGCAATGCAGGGATGGTAGTTTTCTTTCTGCATCTGTCGCCGGGAGAGAAGTTAGGCACGAGAGAATGACAAGAAAGCATGGCCTGGTCTACTCGCCTCTCCCCACTTGAAGGGACTTGAGCATTCAGCGAATTGGGTAGCCAGACTCTGGTTAAGCTTAGTGTCTTTTTACCAAGTCAGAGTAAGAGGAAAAATAAAAAGTGATCTTTATCATTACATATTAAGTCTAAAAATTTTATTTTCATCTCCTACAGTATGCTCAGGTAGGCTTGGAGATACAAAAATAGGTAGCACACAATCCCTTCTCTCAAGTTGCCCATAGTAGAATGGAGATGAGCCTGCTCTAAACCAGGGTGTTAGAGCCAAAAGCAAAGGAGAGGCAGACAGCGTGGGCAAGAGAGAAGACAAATCATGAGGCAGCAACCCAGCAAGTACGGGAGGAGGGAGGGTCTGCACCCAGGGACTAGAGAAGGGACACCTCTTCCACAGAGACAGAAGGAAAGGAGGAGAGGGTCGGAGGGTAGATCATCTTTGCTTTGCAGGACACAGCAAGGTTACCAACGTCGAGACTCTGAGTTTGTAACGGAACTCGTGAGCCATGATGGATTTATCACTGCATAGTCTCAAAAGCTTCCAAAATGGATGACTAACATTAAGAGGAAAAAAAGACAAAAATAATTTAAAACCATTAGTTTGGAGGGCAAGTACTTAATGACAGCTAAGTGTTATTTCTGTAAGTCAGTCATCCTGTCTAGGTATATGCTTCTTAAGTCTGGTGATTAATACTTCTGAAGTTAACATTTTTAATAAAAATTTCAGTATGTTTCATGTTAAGCAAAATAAGCCAGGCACAGAAAGACAAATACTGCATGATCTCACTTAAATGTGAAATCTGAAAAAGTTGAATTCAACGTTTTTAAGTTAAAGAATAAGATGGTAGTTACCAGAGGCTGGGCGTTGCAGGATTGGGGAGACGTTGGTCAAAGGATACAAAATTTTAGTGAGATAGAAAGAATAAGCTCATGGGATCTATTGTACATCATGGAGACTGTAGTTAATAACAATGGATCGCATATATGAAAATTGCTCATGGAGTAGATTTTAAGTGTTCTCATCACAAAAAGATGACATGTTTATGAGGTAATATATACGTCAAACAGCTTGATTTCGCCATTCCACAATGTATACATATATCAAAACATCATATTGTACATCATAAAGATACATCTATAATTTTTACTTATTTGAAAAAAAGAAATATTTCGATTTTGTTTAAAACATAACTTGTTGTTTATGTAATAATATAAGGCAACTTGCCTTCCATGTCACAGGCTATGAAAAAAAATAAGACAACAAGTTGCTTAAGGTATCACCAAAATATTAACAGAGAGATAAAACCTGGATAATGAACTAAAGACATACAAATATCTAGGTCAAATGGCTTCTGTTATTAGATTTACGGATTTAACCACAATTTAGTAAATTTGATCTTTTCCTAGGCCCAAGTTGCACATTGATCCTAAATCCACTCCTAGGAGTCAGAAGTTCTGCAAGCCTGGTATGACTCTACCCCTAGTGAGGGTAGAGTTGCCTTAGCCTTGAATGTTAGCCTTTAACTAGCTGGTCAGGGTTACATCAGCTCTTAGCTGCTTACAGTCGTTAGAATTCAGGTACCGGCAGACTCCGGGACTATCAGTACTAGGAAAAGCCCCTCCTCGTGGTTCCAGCTGCAGAGAAGACCCAGAGCATCCCGAGTGGCCCAGGCAGCACCTCTGCAGGCCTATCTCAGAGTGAGAAAGAGATCCCTTATGTTAACTAAGTTTACATCTTAGTTCTCACTCCTCCTCCTTCCTTCCCAGATTGCTTACTAGTTCAGTAACTTCTAGTTTTTTCCAAGTCTCTTAAAGTGTCCTTGATCTTTTTAGTCTGTTAACATTTTAAAAATTCATGCAGCCAATGTTCAACATAAACTTTTAAAATGGAATTACAAAATAAATTCCCCACCAAGATCTAATTGTTTTCTTTTCTTCCCCCAATTCTCTGAGTATCAGAGATCTTAATAAATAGAAATAGAATACTGGGTGTTCCATGGGTGATGCTAGCCAAGCAAATCCCATCCCTGGCATCCCACCAGGTATTGTCTAGTCAGGAGTTTCTCTGTTACTGAATAGGTTAGATTTCAAAACGCTATTAATGGGTTCATTTTTTCAAAAGTCTATTCAGCGAGGCTGAATAAGTAACCAGTGTGCATAGACAGTATAGCACACTGATATGCAGCCTCTGGAGCGCAACTTCCTGGGTTCAAATCCCAGCTCTGACACTTATTGTCTGTGACCTGGCTGTGCCTCAGTCTTCTCATCTTTGAACTGGGGACAAGGGATAACAATATCCTCCTGTTTTGAAAATAAATTAGTCCATACATTTCAAACAGTGCCTGACACATTAAAAAGTGGTCAATAATTATCAACACTATTAGCTATCTATAAAAATTTAAATTTTCCCTGAGAACTGTAAGTATAGATGGCCTTAGTTTCAACTAATTGTTTATTTCACCTCTTTAAAAGATATCCCTATTTTGTCTTTCTTATTTTTACTACATATAAAATTTATGATAAGACTAAGTCTTAGATGACCATGGACACTTTTGTAAATCTAAGTTAGGATCCTGATATCTGAATAAGGAAAGTATCTTTTCCACAAAATGGAATTAAATATTACTGGTTTTTTGGTTGTTCTTTTTTTATTATTATTTTTTTCAGCATATTATGGGGGCACAAATGTTAAGGTTACGTATATTGCCCTTCCTTGCCCCACCCCCTCCCCCGAGTCAGAGCTTCAAGCGTGTCCATCCCCCAGATGGTGCCATAGCACTCATTATGTATGTATATAGCCATCCCCTCCCCCCCACACCTGCCTGAAACCCGATAAATGTTATTCCTATATGTCCACTTAGGTGTTGATCAGTGAAACCAGTTTGCTGGTGAGCACATGTGGTGCTTGTTTTTCCATTCTTGGGATACTTCACTTAGTTGTATGGGTTCCAGCTCTATCCAGGAAAATACAAGAGGTGCTAGATCACCGTTGTTTCTTACAGATGAATAGTACTCCATGGTATATATATACTACATTTTATTAATCCGCTCATGTATTGATCGTTCTTTTTGTCTTACTTTGCTTTCCCAAAAAGTAAAACCCAGCAAACACACCTTAGGCTATGAATGACTCCAAATTCAAACAGCCTCCTGAGATTGCTAATGGCCGCCTATGGTGGGGGCAGGGCTGATATGCTTTAGCTCTGGTGCATAGCTTTGTTACCTATGAAAATTAGTAACATCTACCTTCATGGAAATTAGATGTTACTTTCATTTGAAAGGTCATAGAGGATATTCTATACTAAAGAGTTAAAAAATACATATTTCTCTTTAAAAAAAATACATTTACTCTATGTATCATCAGTGCCCAAAAGAGTGCTGGGCAAATAAATAAATGTACAATGAATGGCTGTTGTTGAATGAGTGAAGGCTGAAGACTTTGGTAAACAATCTATATTATCTCTAGTACTTAAAACAAACAAAAATGGGTGGTATGGTTATCTGCACGCTATAGATCAGGAAACTGAAACTCAGACTTGTTAAATGCTGCCCAAGTGGCCTTCTGATTCTAACTTCCTTTCCCACAACCCCAGGCAGCAGGGTGGTCTGGAATTCACTGAAGGGTTGTGCTGCACACCAGAGGTAGGCTAAGGTCAGAGAGCAAAGGGCACCGGGGTGGAACTCCAATCAAGGAAAACTCCAGGCCTCCAGTGAATTCAAAGAATGAAGCTGAAACACAAACGCCGCATCTGATGGGAGTGGAAGGAGAACCCAAGTCTATAGGCTACTCTGAGATGAGATCTGGAAGGACGGCCAGAAGGGAAGGAATTCAGCCGAGGTTCATTTACAACAGGATCAGGAAGGCAGAGCCTCCTTTGCTTTCCATGACTTGTATTTCTTTATAGATTAATGGCTTTTTTATTTTCCTGACTATAAAAAAATAAATTCTCATTAAACATTTTCAGGCAACTCAGACAGGTACTTTTAAAATATAAAAATGTCTTGTAATCCCACCACGTGGTGTTAATATTGTGACGTATACCCTTCCAGATATTTTTTTCTGTGATTGTGTATGATTTTCTTTTTCAGTGCACAGAGTAGGATCCCTTTTGAAAGCCCAAGAATGTGTGCCACTATAGATTTGCCTCTATTTATCCCAATAGCACGATAAAAGCTCAAATCTGCTGCCTGAGGCTGCAGCTTCGATGTTTATTTATAAAATGAGAATAAAGTTAGCACCATCTATCACCCCTACCTAACCACAAGTTAGGTATTTGTATTTAAAATAAAATCACCTACATCCTTTGGGCTTTGGGGAATATTCTCCATTTTATAATTAAGGTGCACAATTCTTACCACAGTCCTCCCCTGCTATATACATAGAAATTATAAAGAGTAAAGCCATGCAGTAAATATTTATACTTATTTAAAAATACCATTTTAAGTACTCACCCGAAAACACACAAGCCCATGATTTCTCCAAGGTACACTGATGCAGGCCTCATGGAAAATTCTGGCTGTTGGAGATCTGTGTGGGCTTCATCTTAAGGAAGAGGGCTTTCTACAGTGTCCCAGTAGACATCATGTCAGTCTTTGGATAAATAAATAATTGTAATGTTTTTTAACTTTGTTGACGTAAACATGCTTATTGTTTTCCTCTGGCTCACCTCTTTAATTACATTGTTTTTGTTGAACCACAACAGATGGTGCTTATAAATGTACTATCACGCCCCAGGGAGGAACAGGAAAGCCCTGTCAGAGGAAGCAGACCAGCCTTCGCAAGATGGCTGCCCTAGAGCAAGCATGTCCACCCAAGATGAACCAGAGGTGGGCAACCTTCTATACAGCGCCTGCTTTCCAAGAGGTAGAGTATTTATGATCCTGAGTTCTAGATTTCCTGGATTCACTGCTAACGACCTTATAACTTAAAGTTGGTATAAAATAGGGATAATAATGGTAAGCATTAAATGAGCCTATTCTTAAAAGTCTTAGAATGGCAGCAAGATGTGGTCAACATTCAGCAGATGTTAGGTCTGATGAATGATAATGTTCCTCACTTTGTTTTCATGGAGTGTCCTATGTACCCAGTACTGTAGGGAACACAAAGAGAAGGTCCCTGCCATTTATTGAGCATTGTCAAGCATTGGATTAGGTTCTTTATTTACATTGTGTTATTTAATCCTTCCAACTTGATAAGATAGGTATTCCTAATCCCATATTTCAAATAAGAAAACTGAGATGCAGACAAATGGATCTTGCTTAATGTCACAACACCTAGAAAGTCCCTTCTCTAAAGAGAAAAGAAAAGGGTGCTGCTGTCTTATTAGTTTGGGCTACTATAACAGAATATTATAGTCTTGGTGGGTTATAAACAACATATATTTATTTATCACAGTTCTGGAGGCTGGAAAGTCCAAGATCAAGGCTTCAGTAGATTTGGTATCTGGTCAAGGTCCACTTTTTTTCATAGATAGCACCTTCATGTGTCCACACATGACAAAAGGTGCAAGGGAACACTCTGGAGTCTCTTTTATAGGGCACTAATCCAATTCATGAGAACTCTACCCTCTCGATCTAATCACCTCCCAAAGGCCCCACCTCTAAATACCATCACTTTGGGGACTAAGTTTCAACATATGAATTTTGGCAGACACAAACATTCAGTCCATAGCAGGTGCACATATATTTGTTAAGTGCCTCCCTAGCTACATATTTACCTAATCTAAGACATGTAAAGCAAATACATTCTGTCTAAATATTTATGATACTCAGTGTTGGTAAGGTGTGCAGAAAGTCACTCTAATACAATTAATAATAGCTACCAAAAGCATGTAATGTATATGCCTTCCAACCAAATATCTTTAATAGTAAGAACTTACCCTACATATCTATTGGGACAAATATGCCAAGATAAAAATACCGTGATACTAACTACCACATTGTTTGCAATACCAAAATGCAATTCCAATGCAAAAGTCCTTCAGTATGGGACTAAACAAATTATGGTATATAAATAAAGAGCTACAATACAGCCCTTAAAGGAATGTGGTAGATAGATAGGAAAAGGTATCCAGCTCTAACTTCAAAGAACAGAAAAAAAATTTTATGCACAGAGGCTACCAAGGGTGGCTTCTAAGAAAAAACAAGACTTGATTTGAGTCTTAAATTATAAACAAATTATTTTGACCAGGCTGAGGAGAAGAGGAAGGCCATCTAGAATGGAGCAACCATCAACCAGGGAACGATGTTGTATGGTAGAAAGACCCCTGGTTGTAGAGTCCAAACCCCTGGCTTTAGAGCAACCTGAGGCAGGGCCCCTAGAGCTTTTATACAGAAGTACCTGGTTTGGCAGTGAAGAGAGGTGCATTCCTCATGAGAATGCAAAGTGGCCAGCTGAGAGAGAGAGAAAGAGAGAGAGAGAGACTTCTTTTGAAGTCTCAAATTCCCTACCTCTGACTTTGGCTAATGGACACTATGCTGTTTCATTGAGACTGACAAATTAGGAATGTTGGACGGAATTGCAGAGAGCTGGTACAGCATATCGGGTTCAATTTCCTTTTTCTTACTCAGAGATGCAGTTTTTCAAGGGCCCGGGCTCACAGAATTATTTGGACATGAAGAGTGGGAAGCAGAAACCAAGAATCCAGAGCTACTTTAGCAGATAGCTAGGCATATTTGTCAAAGCCAAAGATCTTTATTTATTTTTACTTATTTACATCTGCTTTTTATGAAGTGACTAATTCTCCAAAAAGTGAACTGTGGTGGTAGGCCTATATATGTACTTCTCAGGAAGGGCTACTGCTTCTCTGATTTATATGGGATTCTGTGTAAAATATCATTTAAAAAACTAAATTCATGGCTTAAAAGAAAACTTTTTAAAACCACAACTTGATGTCTTCTTAGCTCTGGTCTTGCCATAATTAAAAGAAGGAAAAGAAAAAAAGACCTGGAGGAGCTAGCAAGTAAACCCTAGGCAAGATTCTACACCTTGAGCAGATGATAACAGTAAATGGTAGTGTCTGGGCTCATTTGAACATTTAAGGCTCCAAAAGAGCTTTTCCTCCCAAATGTAACTAAGACTAAAAAAATACACAGTGCACATTTGCAGCTAATGAAGGAACCATGTTACATTTATTAGTAAAGAACTTTCTGGAAGTAAAAATTAGAAACATTTTTTTCTAATCGCCAATATGATTATTTAGACAAGGGGCCTTTGGGAAGTGATTAGATCGTGAGGGTGAAGTTCTCTAATTAGAAAACGTATAAGAATTGAGACCACATCTGGGAAGGCAGCATGGGGCTATGGGATGAACAGGGACAGCTCTAGAAAGAGAACGGGTTCTAGAACCAGTCAGGCCTCGGCGTGACAGGCAGGGGACCTCAGACCGGTCATGTAAGCATCACACACTGCGCTTTCTCAACTGCAAGACATAAGAAAGCGTATTCACATCGTGGCTCTGTTACAAACATTGGCCATGATAGATATATTGATAGCACAGAGTAGGAATCAAAAATTGGTAGTTTCTAATAGACAAATCCCCTAACTCTGAGCCCAGGGTTCCTGTGTGTCAAAGGTAGACAAGGATTCCTATGAGGGAATAGATTATGAAAAGCCTTTCTGAGCTTTAAAATTATCTAACGAGTTAAGATTATTATCCATAATTGGGAAGTCAATATTTAAAGATATAAGGCATTCGCTAATGAAGTGCCTGACGTTTGTCTCCAAAAACACGGCGAGCCCGGGCTGCAAGGGAGAGAGAAAGGGGCAGCTGCTAAATGGTGGTCAGGACGGGCCTCCTTCATAAGGCAAGACTTGAGCTCAGACTGGCAGGAGGGGAGCGAGCATCTGCGGGAAGGGCCTTCCAGACAGAGGGGAAGGCTGGAGCCAAGGCCCTAGGATGGGAGTGGGCCTGCATGGTGGGGAGGCTCGAGCCAGCGTGAGCAATGGGAGAAACTGGGTCAGACTGGGCACGGCCATCGTGGACACGTTAAGGACTTTGCCTTTTACTCTCAGGGAAAACCATGACAGGGTTTCGAGCAGAGGGACAACATGATCTAATTTGTATTTTAGAAGAATTGCTCTCTGAATAAAATTTCCAGTGGCAAGTCTAGAAGCAGGGAGACCCCAGCAAAAGCTATAGCAGGGATCTTTTAATGGCTTAAAAGCCTGATCAGAAAGAGTTTAAGAGAAAATAGCACAACTAAGAGATGAGCACAAGCTTTGCCTGCAAACCTGCAAACACAAAATTCAGCACGGGGCCTGGAGCGGGCTCAGGCAAGCAAGGGGCCCTGGAGTGGAAGCTGTGCTGGCATCAGCACACCCACCTCTGCCCCAGCCAAGGCCCCGGCCTGGTCAACTGGGGGGACACTGGGGCACTCTCTAATTTGGGGGCCCAGGAGGAAACGAAGGTTTGCAAGCAAGAGAAAGGCAACCATGCATTTTATTGTGAGAATTTTGAGATTCAGGGGTCAGTGAAACTTCCAAGTGAAAATGTCCAGGCCCTCCCTGCTCCTACTAATACTTCTCAGAGATACCAGGTTGACCTTTCTACAAGGCATATCTGATTTAGTAACTTGCTGCTCCAGAACCTCAGTGCTTCCCTTTGCCTACAGAGTTACTCGCAATCTAGCCCTGGCTTGTCTTTCCAAGTCTCCCTCCATTCCTTTCAGTCCCTAGCACACCGTCCCCTTTGACACTCACCCTCTCTGCCTGAAATGCCCTTCTGTAACTCCCAAACTCCTCCTCATCTTTCACAGTCCAGATCTAACATAGCCTCCTTGGATCTCCTCCAAGGCAGGGCTAACTGCCCCCTCCTCTGCAGACTCAAAGCCCTTTGTGCACGGTTCCATTGAATCTGCTACAGAAACATAGGTTATTAAATATGAAATGTCCAACTTCGTTAAATGCTAAGTTTGACAGTTGGTATTTCTGACATTTCACTTTGATACTTATTTAATTTTTATGGTGAAGGTACATCCTCAGTCTTGCAAACACGTTTGGGCTTGTGCCTCTTTTAAATTTTTTTAGAGCAATATTTGTGAAACCATTGATAAGTCAAAAAGATTCGTGTTATCTTCGAATATGAGTTCCATCGTGGAACCAATGCAGCACAGACAGTTTGAAATCTCAACAAAATGTTTGGGAAGAATATGGCTAATGAACACACAGTATGTTAATGGTCTGAGAAGTGAATGGTTTGAGAAGTTCCATTCTGGTGATTTTAATTTTGAAAATGAGCCACGTGGGTGCCCTGAGACCAAGGCAGATAATAATGAGCTGAGAGCTGTAGTGGAAGAGAATCCATCTCAACCCATGTGTGAATTAGCAGCAAGGTTTCATGTTACTATTCCAATAATATTGGACCATTTGAAACAAATTGGCAAGGTAAAAGCTGGATAGATGGGTCCCACATGAACTAAACGAGTGTCAGAAAAGAAATCGTCTTGAAGCTTGCCTTTCTTTGCTGTCACAACACAAAGGTGAACAATTTCTACACCATATTGGTACATGTGATGAAAAATGGATTCTTTTTGACAATCGCAAGCATTTTGCACAATGGTTGGATAAAGATGAAGAGCCAAAACACAGTG